TGGGAGGGGTGGCTGCTCCCCCCCAGGCTGGATCCTGGCTCCAGCAGCCCTGGGCAGGGTGGGCAGCCCCTGCCCAGCCCAGCCCCTGAGCCCTGCCCATCTCTGTGCCCGCAGGCTCAGCTCTCGTTCAACACCGACACACTGTGCTGAGACCCTGGGGGCAGCCACGTCCCCTGGCTGTGGAGCCACCGAACCCTTTTGGCCTCTTCCTCCCTTTGCCCCGTTGAGCAGAGCTGCAGCGGCCGGAGGCACATGCCAGGGAGGACACAGCGGGTACGGCACCGGCCTGGAAGGACCCTGTGAGCCACTGCCTGCTGGATGGCCCTTGTCCCCTCAGCTCTGGGGCAGTGTCCCTGCGTGGTGCTGGGGGCCACCGTCCTCGGCCAGCTCACCCAGCCAGAGTGTGCCAACACAGAGACTGCGAAGGGAATGATGCAGCTGGGCACCAGTGCTGCCGGGCCCACGCTCTCTGTGGCGGGGATGAGGCCTGTGAGCGGTGCCTTTGGTTGGACACCCACGTTTCACCCCCTCTGGGGACACCTGGCTGCAGGGACGCTCCCCACTCCCCCAGCACTGGCCTCACCCCAGTCCCTGGCCTGGCAGGGCCGGAGGAAGGACAGCTGCTTTCGCCTTGTTTCCATCACCCCTTGCTTGGCGCTCACCCTTGGCACTGTGGGGGGCTTGGGGTCTGGTGCCGCAGGGACAGGAGCTCTGGTGCTTCACCCCCAATTGATTTCTGTCACTGATGGGATGTCACCGGCGACCACCAGCCTGCCTGAGACAGCCCTGCTGCTGTGTCCTGCCCATGCACACCGCTGCCAGCTGAGGGGTCCAGCCACCCTGGCCCGGCCCAGCCTTGCCACGCGTGCGCTGGGCTCTCGGCAGCGTCCCTGGGCCGGCAGCTGCACCCCTGCAGAGGGGCACGCGGCGGGGCAGAGGGGTATTTCACAGGGTATTTCACACGCTGGCACCAGCTGTTTCTCCCCTCTGCCCCCAACCACATCCCTTCTGCCAGAGCCCCTCACCCCTGCCCTCGCCGCCTGCTTCCCCCACCACGGGGCATCACTGCCGCTGTGCCACCATTCTGCTGTGTCACCCTCCTTTTTCCCCATGCCCTGGCACTCATTGCTTAGCATCTGGCCCTGTACAGGAGCCACCTGCACTGGTTTCTTATTGTTGGGTCACTGGTGGTACTGGGAGAGGTGTTGTTGCACCCCAGGATGGCTTTTGAATCTGGGAGTGGGGTGGCCTTGAGCTACGAGCCCAGCTGGGCGCCAGCACAACCTGGCAGTGGAGGCCGGGGTGGTGGGGAGGGGAGGACGGACCAAGGTGGCGGGTCTGGCAGTGCCACCAGGGCTGGCAGCAGCACCGGCTCCAACAGCAGGCACCCCCTTGCCCAGGCACCCCCTGGGCCAGCAGTGCCCCTCCTTTCTGTAGAGGGTCCTGCTGCCTTTGTCACCCGTGGGGCCATGCCTGGCACCCGCAGCCCAGCAGCACCGCCCCAGCCTGCAGCCATGCCCAGCAGTGGGGTGATGGCAGGGCCTGCGATGCTGATGCCAACCACCCACCCCCTGCGTGCCCCCAGGCTTTTGCAGCCCCCGGGGAAGCCGTGCACAGCCCCCCACCCTCCGTCCCAGGGAGCAGCCGGGGCCGAGCCACCTGTGTGTGCCCCACTGCCCTTTCTGCCTCCCTGGCATGGGGTCAGTTGGAGGCCCCCACCTGGCTCCTG